AAGGGACGGGCGGGATGGAGATCGAAACGAGGATGAAGCAAAGCGTTCGCGGATGTCCCATGACGCGCCATACACTTGAGCTGAGTTTTTCTCTCATTTTGCACTTGTATTTCTGCGTATTTCGATTGTGCTTTGTTGATATACGTACCGGTAGTCCTTGATCCTCTACACTACTAACGTGAAGTGGGCAGCGTGTATTGTGCTTTGCATAGCGCGTGTCGGCGATAATCGAGGCTGCTCCGTTCCCTTGCAGGTGCAGACTGGCCCGTGGCGCCCACGGCCCCTCTGCGGCACGCCTCCTGTACCCGACTACTGTATCGCGTACAACACCCGGCTGCGCACACCCGGCGCTTCGTGCAACAGTATCGGTAGCAGCAGCACGTGCGCAAGGCTGTCGAAGGCCTCGAGCGGCCATTGCGCAGCGCTGCGCGGCCGGCGTCAGACGATCGACGAGCGATAGCAGTGGGATGAGAGCGAGCATGCACGCGGGCAATGCGCTCACCGTGTGCCGCATCGACACCATCCTCTAGGTACAGGTGGATCGCTGCTAGTAGCTAGGTGGTCAAGAACCGCAAGAGATACGAAGGCGGATAGTACATGTATTAGCGCCAGCTAGTGGCGCGGTAGGCTCGATTTTTGCAGCATTATGACGCCAAGCCGAGGGCGGGATCTGCGTTTGTACATCGTGGCGCATGCCATGAATAGCCACATTTAGATACTATAAATGGTTATAATTGGCGGTTGCCATTATTAGTAAGAATGGTCATTTCTCGTGCTGAGCGCGTCGCCTGACAATGCGACTTAGCGCAACGTACTCTCCAAAGAGTCTTCTATCTGTGTGCAAAACTAGAGCGAATCCGTTTGAAACTTGATTTGGACGTCCAAAGCTGTCGCTCACCGAGGAGCGCCAGGCGAGGCGAAGCCAATCTCATGTGATTGGCCACAAATCAGAACTTTGTAGCCAATAAGATACCCCAGTACGATGTGGCATGCTTTTTAAATGTGGCAACCGTGCCGAAACTAGAGACAGAGTGATGGGTCAATCATGTTGCGCAATCCTTCGAGACCATGATATCAAAGGGGCTTCTGTTCTTTGCGTGGCTTCAGCTTTCCAGCGCTCGCCAATTGCTTCTCACACTTGCTCGATTTCGTCCTTCACTGTGAACGGCTTGGACGGGGAAGCACAACCGACGGTTTACCAAGGTCGTAGGCGCCAGCGAGAGCTTTATCGAGCTCCGGCTCCGGGATGCGTGTCCGCTCGTGGACAAGGTCGACGTTGAGCCCGGCGTGAGGGTCACGTTTGTTGCAAAGCGGATGTCAGATCATTAACGACGACTTCTTTGGCGTCGTGGGCCGATGCAGCGTCCTTCGTGAATGCATCTGCTTCCACCGGTGCGAGGTGGGCGATTCGTTGACGGCGACCTATAGTCATGTTGCGGCTTTGGCTCGGTCGTCAAGTCAGCATTTGTCCCACTCGCGTGGATACTGATCCCGCTTGCGTCTGCACTGAGCGAGGGAGTCTTGTAGCTCACGCAGCTCGGTACGTCGAGCAACCTCCCGCTGTGCACTTGCACGTCACCGTCGCCAGCCCCGGCGCGAGACCACGGGAACGACGAGTAACGCGGAGCAGGCCTCAAGAAGAGTCACCGCACCAGGATTTGAGCCCAACCGTAAATTGGAAGCGCGGCGACGGCTTCACTGGCATCCTCCTACTTCCTACGGTTGCGGCACTTGAGGCACGCAAATATGTGGTGAGGAAGGTGCAGCTTCACAGTGCTGCGTGCAAGCTCTCGATATGCAGTGTATGGTGATTGCTGGTTGGTAGAGGGCATGGAGGGCGCCTTGGTGCTGCGGCAGTGTTCGACGTACGGGCGCTCACTGGCAAGACTGTTCTTCTTTCCCTTGCTCACAAGTTTCAGGTGATTGTCGTTACGTGTGCATCTTCCTGAAAGGGTTCAGGTTGCCATCAACAAAAGCTCGATCGCCAGTGACTTTTGCCACCTTGTCCATGGGACTGCTTCAACGCCGCAGGACCTTGCCCAAGCCGCCTCATACAACTCATTCTGGTCCAAGCCTCAGTGGATGGGCGGCTCACGAAGCAGATTAAGAGGTATGTCCAAGTTCTCACGCAGTCAAGGTGCACTTTAGGAGATAGGCGCCGCGAGTCACGAGACTTCTCGGCGAAGAACATCAGTCTTCGGGGTTGCAACTTCCCACGCCTCTAACGCAATGGTAGGAACTGCGACCTTCTCGCAAACTTGGGATCTGAATCACATCCACAATCGCAGAGTCTGACGAAAGCACGGCGACCGGTTCTTGATTACGTCAGGTGGATACTGAGCTTTTGCGGGAGGCTTTCGATATTTTACGAGTAGTAGGAGGGCCGGGTCCGTCCATCGAACCACATCGACTACCAACGAGTCATACTCGGGTCAGACGCTCCGTTGGTCTTAGTAGTACCAGGCATTGTCACGATGTTGCGTCTTCTTCTGTGAAGCATTGCCCGTGGAGCTCGTGTGATCCTCGGTTCGAATTTTCGCGATCTTCCAGCAGTGTTGCGATTCGCGTATAAATCGACTGGTTTTGACCAATCCCGTTCGTGTTTGATATCCGGATGGGCATTTCCATTTTCGCCTTCATGGTAGTGTGCGGCTAGCGCGAGCCACGGCGGTTGCGGCCGCGGCCTCTGTCGTCCCTCTCCCCTGCATGTTTGCATCTTAGTCTAGCGTAGTCTACATCTTATGGGGCAGAGACGCAGCTCGCAGCCTCGGCGCGCCTGCGCGGCCTAGGCGTCCGATGATGCCACTAGCCAAAGTCCGATGCGATACCGGTCGAGAGACCTCAAGCACATGACGCAACCATAGCGAGAGGTTCTTTATGAGACCGACTTCTTGCGGCGCGTCTTCGGACG